GCCAGCCTCAAAGTGCTGAAATACAGGCAATGCTCTGTGCCCAGCTAACCCTGTTGTAGACTTGGTCTTTTGTTTTTTGTTTGTTTTGGAGATGGGATCTTGGTCGCGGTCGCCAGGAGGAGTGCAGTGGTGGTGTATCTGTGGGGTCATTGCAACCTCTGCCTCCTGGGTTCAGCAATTTACCTCAGCCTCCGCAAGTAGTTGGGATACAGGGCACCTGCCCCACACGTCCGGCTATTTTTGTATTTTTCAGTAGAAATGGGGTTTCCCATGTTGGACCATGCTCGGTCTCGATCGCCTGACTTCATGATTGCTTGCCTTGGCCCTCCCAAAGTGCTGGGATACCAGGCGTGAGCCACCGTGCCGGCCCAATCTGTTACCTTTGTTTTAAAATTTATTCATAGAGACAGTGTTTTGCGATCCCAGCGGAGCTGTGCTGACCAACTACGTAACCACAACCTGGGCTCAAGTGATCTCTGCCTCGCTCTTGATAGCAGACTACAGGGTGCCCATCCATGTCTGGCTAAAACTTTTTTTTTTAGAGAGTCGCGCACCCAGGCTGGTGTTTGATCCGGACTCAAGCAGTCCCTGGCCTTCTAAGGTGTGTTATGGCAGGGCATGAGCCACTGTTACCTGCGCACTGGTTAGTTTTTGGATAGACTGTGATGTTCCTCATTTTGTCTCTCATGTGTTTTTTGGAGACCGAGTCCTCCGATTCTGTCATCCGACCTGTGGTTAGGAATGAGGCCACTGCAACCGGTCTCCGGTTCGAAGTATTTTGGCTAGTCTCCCGGTATGCGTGACGTACAGTGCGCACCCCCTGATGCCTAATTGTTTTCTTATAGTAGGTGGGTTTGGCGTTGTCGCCCAGGTCGTCTTCGAAATTCTGGCTCAAGCATCCATTGCCTCAGCCTCTGCAAAAAAGTGCTGGGATTCGGGTGTGAGCCCCAGTGCCATCTTATTTTGTGGTTTTGGTTTTTTTTTTTTTTTTTTAAAGACTATGGGCCCTTAATTTGTTGCCTCAGGCTGGTCGTCGAACTTCCTGGGTCAAAGCAGTCTTCCTTGCTTTGACCTCCCAAAGTTCTGGAACTGCTGAACATGAGCCCCTGAGCTTGGGCTGACCTTAATTTTATGTTTATAGAGGACAGTGAAGTTCTGTTTGACTTTGTAGTTCAAACCATTCCCCAGAAGCCTGGGACATCTGGAAATGAGGCTGTGCTGGGAAGACTACCTGAGCACTGAAGTTCAAGAACAGCTTGGGCAACACAGTGAGACCCCATTTCAAGAAAAAAAAAGAGTAATTGTGTCTAGGAAAGTATTCCTTGAGTAATATCGGGTTAGCTCCACACTCCATATAGAAGTGAATGTTTAACTGAGGTAAACACTAATATAATCAATTAACTATAGAATGATGTTAGTTTCACTCATGGGCATTTAAAGACACTGAAGAAGCTGTGCAGGTAGAGACTAGCAGTAAGAAATAAACTACTGCCTTAAGGTAATTTTAAAATGTAGGCAGGAATATATACTAAGCATGCTCGGTTTTCTTGCCTTTGTTCATGCTTATAGCCAATTAATTTTTCAATTGCCTGAAATCTACCTATCATTATCACCATCATGGCTAGCCATTAACTGGGCATTTAATGTGACAGGTCTTTAGTAGGTGTCATTTCACTTATTCTTTACAGGCACCATTTGAAGATGGCATTATTAACCCCATCATAACCAGACAAGGTATACATAGGTACTAAGTACCAGTGTCAGGACTCAAAACCTGGGCTATCTGACAATAACCTCACCTCTGATTATTTTTTAAAACATGAAATAAGGTGAAGTGTTTTAAAATGGTTACTTATTTTTAAGTGGCGGGGGGGAACCTCTTAGTTTACGAATTATCTTCATTAAAAATAATCAGGAATGAGAAGGTTAGACCTGTTACCACTTCCAACTAACCTTGCTCGAAGCAGACCCAAAGAACTCTATTACAGGACTTCTGGCTCAGCAGACTTCTGGCTCAGCATGCAGACTTATGAGTAAGTGGCTCCAGAGTGAAAACAGAAAGGTTACTAGTACATACCTCCTGGTTGCAAAAAACTGAAATCCAGGTGCCACTTTCAGACAGTCACCTTGGCCAGGAATCAAGAGATCTCCATTCTCCAAGAGAGGGATCAGCACAGAAACCTAAATCAGATAACCGCACTGATAAAGTAAAGCTATTAAGACAGAAGTAATCAAAACAAAACAACCCTCTCTCAAAATGACAGACAGACCCTTAGAGGAAACTTCAGCTCTCATAGTCCAAACTGGAGTCAATATGCAAGCGGGAACGTCTGACTCACCTACACTCCAGCACAATTTATACACTCGACATTCTCGAGTGCCTCCTGTGGATCACAGCCAAGCAAGACACAAGAAGACATAAGAATACAGACAGGACCAAGGCTTTAGAGCCTAGAGGCTGATGGGAGAGGGAAGGCATGCAAATTCCCACACAGCACAATCAGTGTACCCCAGGAGTATACAAAGTCATATATAAAGATAAGAGGGGGTTCTGAATCAGAACAGAATGATTTAGAAGCAGGGCAGTGAAGTCTTCCCAGAGGTAGTGACATTTGCTGAATCTTTAAAGAAGAATGAGCAGAAATTAACCAGGTTTGGTGAAAGAGAAATGGTACGTACACTGCAGGCAGGAGTATGCACGTGCATTTTTTAAAAATTGATAAGCCTAAAAGTCATGGCACAAGAATTCTGTTTTGTTTAGGGTAGAATGTGCATAAGAAGCAGCAGAAAGATGTAAGTCTTAGAGATAAATAATAAAAGGCTTCCTGTGCTGAGCTAAGGGCTTTGAACTTTTGCATAAGTGTTATCGAGAGGCTTTTAGGCTGAAAAGAAAAGAAATAATTTCATTTTTTCTTTTTTTTTTTTTTTTTTTTGAGGAAACGGATCTCGCTCCTGTTCGCCCCAAGGGGGGGCTGGAGTTGGGCGTGGGGCCGGGATCTCGGGGGGCTCCTACTGGCAAAGGGCTCCGCCTTCCCCCCCGGGTTTACCGCCACATCTCTCCCGGGCTTCAATGGGGGCCTCCGGTAGGGCTGGAACTACAGGTGCTGCCACCGCGGCTCCCGGGCTAGTTTTTTTGTAACTTTTTTTTAGAGAGACGGCGGGTTTCCCCAAAAACCCGTGGTTAGCCAGGGGATGGTTCGATCTTCCTGACCTTTGATTCGGCCGGTCCGTCGTGCCTTTTCCCAACCATGCTGGATACAGGGGCATTGGGAGCCAACCGCGCGCGGCCCCAGGGAAAAAGAAATTAATTTTCATTTTTTTTATTTAGAAAAAAGAATTCAACTGAGTAGCAATTTGGAAACGGAAGCTAAGGCCTGGAACGAAAAAAACGGTCAAAAGAACCACTATTTTCAGATTAACAAAGGCAAGGACCAAATAGGAGTATGTTAAAATAAAGCCAGTACTAAGACAAATGGGATTAAAGGTAACAAAAATTTAAAGACGGGGTAAAGGGGGAAAAAGGGCAATTAAAACCGATACAGGAGAAACCAAACTGAAGAAGAGGGAGAGGAAAGAGGTGTCTAGGGTTGTAGGAGTGGGAGTAACCTTGTGGAAGAAAAGTGTTCCTTCGTTTTCTTTTAGCCCACTTACAAAGTGGTGGCGTTTTTTGTTGGTCTTGAGATGGAGTCCCTCCCCCTCTTGTGGGCAGGGCTTCTGGGGGAAGGGCCAGTGGTGCTGATCCTCAGGGGGGCTTCGGGCGGCAACCTTCCTTTGGGGGCTTTTTCCTCGGGGTTCAAGGCAATCTCCCCACCCTCCAAGGGCCTCCCCCATAAAGCTGGAATTACAAAGCATTTTTGTTGCCACCCATTTGGGCCTGGTGGAATATTTTTGTAATTTTTCTTTTTTTAGGTAGAGAAGGTTTTCCCCCATGGTTTGGGACCAGGGCTGGGTTCCAAAACCCTGACCTTCAAGGATTCAGCCCACCTCAGCCTTTCCCAAATGTGGGATTTACCAGGGGGCGTGAGACCCAGCGGCCCCAGCCAGAAAGGTGGGGTTTTTTTGAACCCTTAACAATTTTTATTTTATTTTTTTTTGACCATTAATACATTTTGTTTACTTGGTTTCCCCTTTTCTTTGTGCTTTAAGGCAAAAAGGCCAATCTTTTAAAAAAATAAAAAAAAAAAAAAAGGGTCCAGTTTTGGGACATTCTTAAAACTTTTTGTGGCTGGGCACATGGGGAACTTTGGCAAAGGTTAGGACGATTTTTTTTTTAAAGAATGTGTTGGACTAGGCCCGGGCAGTGGGCTCACCACCTTTGGTTAATCCCCAGCAACTTTGGGAGGCTGGAGCGGGGGGCAGATCACAAGGTTCGAGGAGGATCGAGACCATCCTGGGGCTAAATCACGGTTTGAAAACCCTTTGGTCATCTACTTAAAAAATACAAAAAAATTAGGCCGTGGTTTGTGGTGGGGCGGCCCACCTGTGGGGTCCCAGGTACCTCGGGAGGGGCTGAGGGCAGGAGAAATTGGCGTTGGAAACCTGGGAGGCGGAGGTTGGCCAGTGGGCCGAAAGAATCGGCACCCACTGCCCACTCCGCCTGGGGCAACCAGGAGCGAGGGACTCCGTCTCAAAAAAAAAAAAAAAAGAATGTGGACTAGCCCACTTTGCAGACACTGCCACCCCTGGAGCCCCCCTGCCACTAGACACAGTCCACCCCACTATGTTCTTCAATATCACCATGAGGATGAGCCCTTGGGCCACATTTCCTTCGAGCTGTTTGCAGACAAGTTTTGAAACACAGCAAGAACTTTCATGCTAAGCAATGGAGAGAAAGGATTTGGTTATAAGGGTTCCTGCTTTCACAGAATTATTCCAGGGTTTAAGTGTCAGGGTGGTGATGTCACACCCCATAATGGCACCTGCCCCAAGTCCATCTACAGGGAAAAATTTCATTATAAGAACTTCATCCTGAAGCACAAAGACCCTGGCATCTTGTCCATGGCAAATGCTGGAACCTACACAAATGGTTCCTAGTTTTTCATCTGTAGAGTCAAGACTGTGTGGTTGGATAGTAAGCATGTGGTCTTCAGCAAGGTGAAACAAGGCATGAATATTGTGGAGGCCTTCGAGCGTTTTGGGTCCAGGAATAGCAAGACCAACAAGAAGATCACCACTGCTGACTGGGACAACTAACAAATTTAACCTGTGGGGCCAGGTGCGATGGCTCATGCCTGTAATGCCAGCACTTTGGGAGGCTGAGGTGGGCAGATCACCTGGGGTAAAGCATTCAAGACCAGCCTGGCCAACAGGTGAAACCCCATCTCTACTAAAAATATAAAAATTAACTGGGTGTGGCAGCACACACCTGTAGTCCCAACTACTTGGGAGGCTGAAGCCTGAGCCCGGGAGGCAGAGGCTGTGGTGAGCTGAGATCACGCCACTGCACTCCAACGAGATTCCATCTCAAAAAAAAAAAATTGTGTCTTCTCTTAACCATTCCTTCTGTAGCCTACAAGAGCACCCTCCACTCCATTTGCTTGCAGTAGGCTATAATTTCTGTGCTCTCACCGCAGTTCTCTGGGTTCCATATTTTCTTATTCCCCTCTACATCTCATTGGATAGCAGAGTTAGGTTTATGGTTATGAAATAAAAACTAAATAACGACAACAAAAAAAAACAAAGTGTAGACTAGATATATGGATCCAGGAGTTGTGAGTTTATAGAAGTTTCAAAAGAAAAGAAAAAAAGGTGAGAAGAGCAGAGAGGCAAAGAAGAGGGTTCTAAAATATCAGACATAATTTTTTTAAGCATCATTATTTTATACATGGCTAGGAGCTGAAAGAGAAGCCCAAAATAATATAAGAGCAACTCCAACATACTCCAAAACTTGAATCTAAAGAAAATTATCCTGAATGAGGTCTGTAAAAGCTACTTTAAAATGATAATGGGTCATCTATGAGCTGAGAAGTTCTGGAAAAAACAAAACAGTAAGAGCATCTGAAAAATCTGCACAATGTGCACAGACATCCATAAACCTACTGACAGCCTGACGCAGTGTAATCCCAGCACTCTGAGAGGCAGAGGCAGCAGATCACTTGAGGTCAGGAGATGGAAACCAGCCTGGCCAACATGGTGAAACCCCATCGCTACCAAAAAATACAAAAATTAGCCAGGCGTGATGGTGTGTGCCTGTAAACCCAGCTACTTGGGAGGCTGAGGCACGAGAATCACTTGAACCCAGGACACAGAGGTTGCAATGAGCCAAGGTCACACCACTGCATTCCAACCTGGGTGACAGAGGGAGACTCTGTCTCAAAAGACAAAAATAAAAATTGGCCGAGTATGGTGGCTCACACCTGTAATCCCAGCACTTTGGGAGGCCGAGACGGGTGGATCATGATGTCAGGAGATCGAGACCATCCTGGCTAACACGGTGAAACCCCGTCTCTACTAAAAATACAAAAATTAGCCGGGCGCAGTGGCAGGTGCCTGTAGTCCCAGCTACATGGGAGGCTGAGGCAGGAGAATGGCGTGAACCCGGGAGGCAGAGCTTGCAGTGAGTGGAGATCGCACCACTGCACTCCAGCCTGGGCGACAGAGCGAGACTCCGTCTCAGAAAAAAAAAAAAGAAAAGAAAAGTAAAACCAATCTCAGGAAAAATCTGTCCAAAGGAAGAGTATTTCATCTTGCAATACATTTTTTGTCACTTTTCAGAATACAAAGGCCTCATGGATTGTCTCAATGGCTAATTTCATACATGTAGAAGTGGTCTTTTTACAAACCAAAAAATACATCCAGCATATTTTTCTTAATGAAACAAAGGCAAGCACAGTCTTATTACATCATCTCATCCTTCACTTGTCCTCAGCCCACTGCTCTGCAGCTACCACAGCTGAGAAGCAGGATCTGAAAGTTCTCAATGTACCTGTAACATGGCTGAGATGTTCCAAAACAGACCTATTCTTGGAAAAAGTTGATCTCATATTCAATTAGAGGAGCAAAATACTACTGTGAAACTGGTCACATATTCAACTACTATAGGAAACAGCACAACCAAAATTTTATAGATTCTCTATCAAAAAAGAAACCAGTCAAGTAATTCAGGACCACAAATCAGATCAGGTAAGTAACCATGAAGTACCTGCAACATAGTATGTCTAATCAAATACATTTCTGTTTAAATCATCAACCAGAATCACTATTAACAAAATGCTTTTCCAAGACAGGAAAATACATTAAGGGACAATGAATTTCCTGAGACGACATACCACGTCTAAGGGGGCATAGTCAATATCCTCCAGAAGGATCCAGTGGCCCATTGTGGCTGCCTGTGTCAGGGTGCCAGGCTGCCACACAAACTCTCCAGGAACATCTGTGCAACGATACATCCCCAAAAGCATCTGCAGAAAGAAGATAAAGTTATTACTGAAAAACCATACCTGTAGTGGCAATGCTACATCCTTTGATTAACTGTTAATCTTCTATATGTAGGTATAAGTAGGTAGGCACTTGAGGTTTATGTAGGTTGGCCCCAACAGTTATAAGCAAGACCAATAACTATTCTTATATTCCCTTAGTAAAAGCAATATTTTAATGCAAATATTTACAAGCATGACAAGCCACCAAAACTTAACATTTCCTTATTACCTTACTGTCAGTCTGATCTCCAAGCTGGACTTTGAGAAGCTGAGGAGGCTTCGTTCTACCTGTCATTGCAGCTAAATATTCAACTAAGGAAGTTTTGCCGCATCCTATTGGTCCTTCCAACAACACAGCATTCTGAGAAGCAACCGCCATAGCCAAGGTCTGAAGATTTTTGCAGACAGACTCAACCAGCACATAAGACCTAAGTGCCAGCTCCTGTTCACGTGAAGAACTCCTATTACCATCCTAAAGGGGCAAGACAAAAGCCATGTCAAGAAGAGTTCTTTCCCCAAGGAACACAAGTTAATTTCTACAGTAAGCCTTCTACTAACCTTACACAAACCTCTGTAAGCAAATTAGTAGTATCAAAACTATAATAACAACAGGTACGTCATCTAAAGATCTCTTCGGCATGGTGGCCCATGCCCAGTCTCAGCTACTGAAGTGCTGAGGTGGTAGTATCATTTCATCCCAGGAGTTCAAGGATAGTAAGCCATGATCACACCACTGCACTCCAGCCTGGGTGACACAAAGAGACCCTGACTCTAAAAATTAACAAATTTTTATTTTTAAAAATAAAGCAAGGGGCCAGGTGTAGTAGCTCACGCCTATAATCCCAGTACTTTGTGAAGCCAAGGCAAGTGGATCACCTGAAGTCAGGAGTTCGAGATCAGCCTGGCCAACGTGATGAAACCCCGTCTCTACTAAAAATACAAAAACATTAGCTGGACGTGGTGGCATATGCCTGTAATCCCAGCTACTCGGGAAGCTGAGGCTGGAGAATCGCTTGAACCCAGAAGGCAGAGGTTGCAGAGGGCCAAGATCGTGACACTGCACTCCAGCTGGGCAACAAAAGCGAAACTCAGTCTCAAAAAAAAACAAAAAAATAAAAATAAAAATAAAGCAAGGATCTGATTTTTTTTTCCTTTCCATTTTATTGGGGGTAAGGGATGCCGTGGGAAGTAGGGAAACAGAATTTGTTGGCAAATGTAAGAAAGTCTTCCAAAGTTTAAGTAGCCAAAAAAGCTGATGCACAAAGGTGGGGAAGTGCAAACTTCATCTATTACTGTTGGATTTTTCTTTTCTTTCTTTCTCCATATTCTAGGATTTCCCATCTGAGATCACAAATACACACAATACATTTAGGAGACAATCAGGGAAATATAGACACTGAGAGGATATCTTACAATTTTTTTTTTTTTTTTTTAGGTATAACAATAGTACCAGGGTTATTTTTTAAGTTTGTTTCCTTTAGAGAGAGACAGATATATATCTATGTGTATATATATATCTATATATATATATTCAGTATATAACTGAAATATTTTCATATAAAATAGTATGATGCCTGGTATTTGCTTCTAAGTAACATAATGTGAGGAAGTCATGCAAAAATATAAATGAAAGGTAACTGGTAATTATTGAATACCCAGGTCCATCGGGTCCGCGGGTATTCACTATACCATTCTTTCTACTTTGGAATATGTGTGACATTTTCTGTAACAAAAAGTAAAAAAGAATATTAAAATGCACCCAGTAAGTTTAATGAGAAAGAATTTCAGCTTTGCAAGACGAAAACATTCTCAGTCAGATGTGGTGGCTGGCTTACACCTGTAATTCCAGCACTTTGGGAGGCTGAGGAGGGAGGATGGCTTGAGACTAGGAGTTCAAGACTAGCCTGGACAACATAGTGAGACTCTGTCACTACAAAAAATTTAAAAATTAGCCAGGCATGCTGGCACACACCTGTAGTCCCAGCTACTCAGGAGGCTGAGGTGGGAGGACCCCTTGAGCCTAGGAGTTTGAAGTTACAGTGAGCTACAATCACAGCACTGCATTCCAGCCTGGGCAACAGAGTGAGACCCCATCTCAAAAAACTAAAAAATTTTTCTAGAGACTGGTTAAATAACAATGTGAACTAATGTGTAAAGTTAAAAATGTTAACATGGTAAATGTTGTATCAAAATTTTTATACTTTTTAAATAATAACAATGCATCCAATATACACAGGGAGAAAAGGGGAATGATTTATAACTTTTAAGGGGTAGTAAGTTCTCAAATATAGCTGGTAACCTAAAAACACGTGAGGACTAAAAGAAATTCAGAGCTGGAAGCTCTTGAACTTTCCTCAGGGCTGTCCCTCTCAAAAATTTAGCAGGCAGGCGCAACTCTACCCTGCACTTCGGCCTCAGGGTCCCCAATGCTAACCAACAGCAGGGCCATTGTAACCAGAATCCTTCCCTATGTTAAAATCCTAATGCCCTAAACATAATCTAGGTTGGGATACTGGTTACAGGATACATGGGATACTGGTTACAGGATAAAGAGGGAGTGGGGAAGGGGACAGGTCTTCACAACTAGAAAAAAACACAAAGAGCTTTGGAAGTACTGGGTGTTTGGTATTATTTATATGAAGTTTATGAATAATCACTGACTACACTTATGACAATGTGCATTTTCCTATATGTATATTACACTATTTTTTTTAATACTACTGACCAGAACCCAACTGATGCTTCAAGAAATGACCCAGAACTTATTCCAAGAAGAAAAGTGGGTGCGCTGGGCGCAGTGGCTCACACCTGTAATCTCAGCACTTTGGCAGTCTGAGGCAGGTGGATCACCAGGTCAGGCGTTCGAGACCAGGCTGGCCAACAGAGTGAAATTCTGTCTCAACTAAAAAAACAAAAAATTAGCCAGGCGTGGTGGGGGGCACCAGTAATCCCAGCTACTCGGGAGGCTGAGGCAGAAGAATCACTTGAACCTGGGAGGTGCAGGTTGCAGTGAGCCGAGGTTATGCCACTGCACTTGCACTCCAGACCATCAGACAAAGTGACAACTGACTGAAGACTGCTATGGAAAAAAGAGACTGGTTCCCAATAGTGCCAGATTTATGATCTATAAGCCCGTTCAAGTATGGTCTCTGGTCTCAAGCCATTCGTGGAAAGAAGTTTGTTGCATATGGCTAGTTCACTAGCTACTGGACTCTCACACAATGAGATAGTTCTGAAAGAAGAGGCTGCTGGGAGTTATCTCTAGACCTAGGCCTGTCTTTGCCACAGAGCAGACCAAAGGTCTCCAGCAAGTAATTCTGCCTTTGAATTACATCAACATAGGATCCTAACGTGCTACAGAACTTCACAGTTTTTGCAGTAAGCAAACAAGAAAATATACAGATAAGCTCTGCTCAAGTTAAAGGCATCACATAGGCACCATTAGTTTCTAATGTCATATTAAACAGGGACAGGCTGAGTGCAGTGGCTCACGTCTGTAATCCCAACACTTTGGGAGGCTGAGGTGGCATGATCCCTTGAGGCCAGGGGTTCCAGACTGGCACAGACAACATAGTGAGACCCCGTCTCTATAATTTAAAAAATTAACAAAAAATAAAAACAGGAACAGTGGGAATATCAGGGGAAAAGCCCAAGATTAATTTCTTTTTAATTTCTCCCTGAATACTTCCAAAAATGGAGTAGCAATTTAACAAATTAATTTAGCTCACACCTGGTACATAGAGCCCAGCCAAAGACAGAGCACGCTCAGTGTTTAGTAGGAGGAAGGGGACATACCCCCTACTGATACCAACATACCAGCTCTCCAGGGGCTGGCGGCTGCCCAGGCAGTACCACACCACAAACAGCTGTCACCCTAGGGGAGAGGTCAGACGAAACAAGGTGTCCCTGTAAGTACTGCAGCTCCTTCTCCTTACACCAAAGGGAAGCTTCTGGATTGGCCAAAACCAAGGCCTTCTCCAAATCCTGCAACTGGGCCTCTTCTAACAACCTAAGAGAAAGGAGAGTCTCGTCAATTACCTTATCACTCAGAAGTGCGACAGCAAGACCTGCAGTCACCTCTGGCCTGTCGCCCCAAGAAAAAACAAAAAATAAAAAATAAAGAAATGCTATAGCAATACCTCCATGAAGGTTCCTGCTTACCTCAACCTGAAATGGATCAATTCATCACTATTAAATATCTTCTTAAGAAATGATAATTTGTGCTCTTCATTCATACAGGTGACCAAAGCAAGACAATTGGCTGTATACCTAGGGAAAAAGAAAGTATGTAAATTCAGTTTTTCTACAGTTAATTATAAAGAATAAAATTCACTAGCCAACTGAACACTAGAAAAGGAAATCTCCATTATTACAACACAATTAACAAGAGAAAATACAAATCAGGCACAATGGATTTACTTGATGGAACATGAAAAAGGTGAGACTCCATTCATATCATCTCATTTTCCTCTGCAATGACACATGATTAAAGAAAGTAAAACCCCAAAAGCCACAAGAACAAAATTAACGAAGTTTAAATGGTTTCCTTTCCCTCGAGACACACACAACTCCACACATGCCCTGTACCATCCCCACACTAGAAGTGCAAAAAAAACAGCTACGCACCAGCGAACCAAGGTGTCATGGCTTCTGAGGAGAGGGACACACACACTCCAGTCCCAGAGCTCCCGGAACACAGACTGCTCCTGCTGCAGAAACTTGTAGGCTGCTTCCATTAGGTCCCGGAGCTTCATCCTCCTACGTCCATAGCGGACTGGATTAGCATCTGAACTCTCCAGAAATAGTCTTTGAAAGACTGGGGACGTGTCCTTGAAATACCTCAGGGCAAACCTTCAAACACAAAGAATACAGACATCCCCAACTTAACAATGGTTGGACTTAATTTTTCTGCTTTTTAATAGTTTATCAGAGTATTAAATGCATTTTCAACTTAAGCTATTTTCAACAAGGAGTATCTATATTTTCATTGATTGCTGGGAATATCATAGAACACATCTCTCTACTCTGACCAAACCACAGAACAGAACTCCCAAAGGTCTGAGAAAGCAGGGGAATGAATGCTGAAGCTACCTAGTCCTAAAATTGTATCCTGTTCAATTTCAGGAACCAGGACAACAGCATGAGATAATTCTGACTAAGAGGATACAAAAATCTAAAGTAATTACCTACAAAAGTAGGGGGTAAAGTGTTTACAACCGAAAAGGCACTCATTTCCAACAAACATTTATTCAGTTCTATGAGCCAAATACCGTGTTAACAACTGGGATTCAAAACCAAAGAGATACTTTTCTTGAGGAGTTTGCTGCCTAGTAAGGAAGACAGTCACTTTTAGAAACACTAAGAGACATACACACACAAGAGTCAACTGAATCTGGGGAGAATCAAGAAGAGATGCTTAAGTTACACCTTAATGAATGAAGAGGACAAGCCTGGGCAACATAGTGAGACCTCATTCCTACGAAAAATAAAAAAAAAATTAGCGGGGTATAGTGGAGCCTGAAGCCTATTCAGGAGCCTGAAGCTGGAAGATCATTTGCCAGGTTCAAGGTTACAACGAACTATGAAGGTGCCACTGCATTCCAGCCTGGATGACAGAGCAAGACCTTGTCTCAAAATAAGTAAATGAACTGCAAACCCTTTGCTAGATTAACTAAGATAAAAAAGATTCGAATGAACTAAAATCAGAAATAAAAGACAGGACTGGGTGTGGTGGCTCACACCTGTAATTCCAGCACTTTGGGAGGCTGAGGTGGGTGGATCACCTGAGGTCAGGAGTTCTAGACAGCTGGACCAATATGGTGAAACCCATCTATACTAAAAACACAGAATTAGCCGGGCGTGGTGGTGGCCCATGCCTGCAATTCCAGCTATTTGGGACGTTGAAGCAGGAGAATCGCCTGAACCCGGGAAAGGGAGGTTGCAGTGAGGTGAGATCACACCACTGCACTCAAGCCTGGGCAACACAAGAGGGGACATTATATTATATAACCAATGCCATGGAAATAAAAAATATTATTAAAACTTTGAACAAGGCCAGGCACAGTGGCTCACACCTGAAATCCCAGCACTTTGGGAAGCTGAGGTGGGAGGATCACTTTAGGTAAGGAGTTCAAGACCTGCCTGGCCAACATGGTAAAACTCCGTCTCTACTAAAAACACAAAATTAGCTGGGTGTGGTGGTGCATGCCTGTAATCCCAGCTACTCAGGAGGCTGAGGCAGGAGAATCACTTGAGCCTGAGACGGAGGTTACAGTGAGCCAAGATCATGCCATTGCACTCCAGCCTGGGCGACAAGAGTAAAACTCTGTCTCAAAAAAAACTTCGAACATTATAAAGAAATGGAAAATATGTACAGATCACTAAGTAACTAGTAAGCAGATTTAGTCAGTAATCAAAAACTTCCCATCAAAGAAAAGCCTACACTGCACTAGAGAAAAGCTTGATGAGTACACTAGGGAATTCTACCAAACACTGAAAGAATAATTAACACTAATCCTAATGAACCTTAATGTAATCGGGTAGACTTCGAGTAGGCTCATCAATTGTAAAAAATGCGCAAGTCTGATGGGAGATGCTGATAATAGGGAGGCTATGCATGTGTGTGGGTACAGTGTGTATATGGGAAATCTCTGTACCTTCCTCTCAATTTTGCTGTGAGCCTAAAATGGCTCTAAATTAAGTATTAAAAAATAAAAATAATTAGCATGCATTAAATGTTTGTTTTTAATTTTATAAAAATTTCTGGGCTGGGCGCAGTGGCTCACACCTGTAATCCCAGCACTTTGGGAGGCTAAGGCAGGTGGATCACCTGAGGTCAGGAGTTCGAGACCAGCCTGACCAACATGGAGAAACCCCATGTCTACTAAAAATACAAAATTAGCCAGGCGTGGTGACGCAAGCCTGTAATCCCAGCTACTCGGGAGGCTGAGGCAGAAGAATCGCTTCGACCTGGGAGGCGAAGGTTGCGATGAGCTGAGATGGCACCATTGCACTCCAGCATGGGCAGTGAGAGTGAAATTCCATCTCAACAACAACAACAAAAATTTCCGGTCAGGCGAAGTGACTCACGCCTGTAATCCCAGCACTTTGGGAGGCCAAGGCAGGCGGATCACAAGGTCAAGAGATCGAGACCATCCTGGCCAATGTGGTAAAACCCCGTCTCTACTAAAAATACAAAAATTAGCTGGGTGTGGTGGCACATGCCTATAGTCCTAGCTAACTGGGAGGCTGAGGCAGGAGAATCGCTTGAACCCCGGAGGGAGGCAGAGGTTGCAGTGAGCCAAGATCACGCCACTACACTCCAGCCTGGCAACAGAGCGAGACTCCACCTTAAAAAAAAAAATTCTATCTTAAAAAATTGTGTACAAAAGTTCAAAAACGGACTGTGGTCGGTGGCTGTGTTGTTCCCTGATAAAGGTACGTGGTTGTTGGCCGCAACCTCTGGGCTGGGATGATTCACATTCCTAGTGGAGGCAGGGGAACCCAGCTGGAGCTGTGGCCAGTACAGTAGTAGCAGTTGGACTGATTTGCTGCCATGGGATTCGTAGGCCATTATGTTTTGCAAGCCATGAAGCATATGGAACCTCAAGTAAAACCTCAAGTTTTTCAAAGTCTACCAAAATCTGCCTTCAGTGGTGGCTATTACAGAGGTAGGTTTGAATTAAAAATGACAAAACAGAAGGCAGCATCAATACTAGGTCTAAGGCCTACTGCCAATATGAGATGCTCATTAATGAATGATGCTCTTAATCCAAGTAAAAGAGGATCTCCCTACACACCACCCAAAAGCAGAGAAGCTAAAGATTTACTAGAAAGTTGGCCGGGCATGGTGGCTCACGCCTGTAATCCCAGCACTTTGGGAGGCTGAGGCAGGTGGATTATGAGGTCAGGAGATCGAGACCATCCTGGCTAACATGGTGAAACCCCGTCTCTACTAAAAATACAAAAAAAAAATTAGCTGGGTATGATGGCAGGTGCCTGTAGTCCCAGCTACTCGGGAGACTGAGGCAGGAGATGATGAATTTTAAGTTCATATTAGTTTATGTATGAGTAGCAAGTTTTTATAACAAAATGCCTGAGTTAAAATTTTTGAAAATAATTTAGCACGAGCTAAAAAAATAAAAGCAATTGACTGTAGTGATGACTGCATATATTGATGAAAATACTAAAACCACTGAATTGTACTTTTATAATATAGAAACTATCTCAATAAAGCCATATTTAAAATGCGTGCATATTAATTTACTTGTGTGTATACTCTGATGTGTGCAAGAGTGAGGAAAGACATTGGGGAGAAAACATACCAAAATATTAATACCAGCTATCTTTGGAGGGTATGGTTTCAGGGTGGAGAAGACCTTTAGCTTCCTACCATTCTGTATTGTTGAATGTTATTTGAATATATCACTTCTGGAACTAAAAGAAGAAAAGGGGAAATAGGTATTATACTACTAGGACATTATTTTCCTCACAGGGATACAGTGAGAATAAAGTAGTTCTTGGAGAGGAAGAAAAGTCTAAAAACAAACAAGATGTTACCTTTAAGCATTTCTAGATACAGTTTTTAACTAAAACGTGTAAGAGCAGAACTATTTTGGTCCCTCATTCTGCTGTATGACTGCATGACTGGTCACATAGATACAGTACCTTACACACGGACTATGTCTTTGAAAAGAAAGTGCATGCTCCAGCACAACAATCCATCTGCTATTCTTCATAAAGGCTGTGACTGGGCCCACCCACTATTGCTCTTACCAATCAAAGGACAGACAGCACTGATGTGGGACACGTGCCCAGCACAAACCAGCAGCAGATGCAAAACTGAAACCAAGAAATTAATCTAAAACGCAATCCAAATAAACTGTACACTTAAAAATAGTAAAGTTGGGCCGGGGGCAGTGGCTCACTCCTGCAATCCCAACACTTTGGGAGGCCGATGCGGGTGAAGGTCAGGAGTTCAAGACCAGCCTGGCCAATATGGTGAAATCCCCACCTCTACTAAAAATACAAAATTAGCCAGGTGTGATGGCACATGCCCATGATGCCAGCTACTTTGGAGGCTGAGGCAGGAGAATCACTTGAACCTGGAAGGTGGAAATTGCAGTGAGCCGTTGCATTCCAGCCTGGACAACAAGAACGAAACTCCGTCTCCAAAAAAAAAAAATAGTAAAGGTGATCAATTTTATGCATTTTCCTACCACAACGGGAAAAAAGTGTATATACATTTTTAAGAATGAAACTTAAATTTTGTTAAAAACTTGAGCTTATTTGTGATATATGTTTAGTTTTCAATCTGGTTCCAGGACAGAGCTCCAGGAATTGTAACTGCCAATGCAGTAAGAGCTATTCTTTTGTTATTCAACCCCCTTTCAATCACACCTGAGTTTATGTTAATGAGGTGACAATGGGAAAGTCCCTAAGGAGCAGGGAGGGTGGGGGAGGGCCACAGGTTGGTTGCCAGGAGAACCAACCAAGTGATAATAGAGTTAAAACTTTCAGCCCAACTGCCAGAGAAGAGAGAGGGGATGAAGGTTAAGATGATCTCCAATGGTCAAAGATATAATCAATGCCGGGCGCAGTGGCTCACGCCTGTAATCCCAGCACTTTGGGAGGCTGAGGCGGGTGGATTGCCTAAGGTCGGGAGTTTGAGACCAGCCTGGCCAACATGGTGAAATCTTGTTTCTAAAAAATACAAAATTAGCTGGGCCTGGTGGCATATGCCTGTAATCCCTGCTACTAGGGAGGCTGAGGCAGGAGAATTGCTTGAACCTGGGAGGCGGAGGTTGCGGTGAGCCGAGATCGTGCCATTGCACTCCAGCCTGAGCAACAAGAGTGAAACTCTGCCTCAAAAAAAAAAATATATATATATAATTAATCATGCCTTCCTAATGAAATATCCATTAAAAAAAAACAAAAAAACCCAAGTGGGGTGCAGTGGCTCACATCTGTAATCCCAGCACTTTAGAAGGCCTAGGCGGGCGGATCACCTGAGGTCGGGAGTTTGAAACCAGTCTGACCAACATGGAGAAACCCCGTTCTACTAAAACTACAAAATTAGCCAGGAATGGTGGCACATGCCTGTAATCCCAGCTACTCGGGAGGCTGAGGGAGGAGAATCACTTGAACCTGGGAGGCGGAGGTTGCAGTGACATGAGATCGCGCCACTGAAGTCCAGCAGCCTGAGCAACAAGAGCGAAACTCCGTCTCAAAACAACAACAACAAAAATAAATGGGGTCCCGAGAGCTTTCAGGGTAGTAAACAAATGGAGGTGCTGAGAGGGTGCTGCAGCTGGCGGGGGGCATAGATGCTTACTGTCCCCTTCCCCCATGCCTTGTCCTGTGCATCTAACTGGCTCTTCCTGAGTTGTATCCTTTCCTAATACACTTATAATCTGGTAAAGAAACTGTTTTCCTGAGTTCTGTGAGCCATTTTAGCGAATAATCAAACCTGAAGAGGTAGGTCAAGGAAGTCTCTGATTTATAGCCTTTTGGTCAGATGCATATATGATAACCTAGACTTGAGATTCTTGTCTAGAGAGGGGGTGTGCAGGGGAGGAATGGTGAGATACTCTTGTGGGACTGAATCCTTAACCTGTGGGGTCAGTACTAACTCCAGATAGATAATCTCAGAGTTGAACTGAATTGTAGGCTACCAAACCGGTGTCAGACAATTGATAGATACAGGTAATAAGTCACACATCTGGTGTTAGAAGTGATGTGTTCTGCCAATGTAGAGGAAAAGGAACTGTATTTTCTTCTTTACTAGTCCAGGATACTTCTGTGTATGCAGACACGATTCATAGCAGGTGCTGGTCAAGTCAGTATAGGTAAAATTTAGAAATAATGTTACACTCTGACATAACATTAAAGGAAAATAATTTCTGGGTGTGGTAGCTCATGCCTGTAATCCCAGCACTTTGGGAGGCCGAGGCAGGCAGATCACTTGAGGCTAGGAGTTCAAAACTGGCCTGGACAACATGCTGAAAACCCAAAAAAATACAAAAGTTAGGCCAGGCACAGTGGCTTACACCTATAATCCCAGCAATTTGGGAGGCCGAGGTAGGCGGATCACGAGGTCAGGAGTTCAAGACCAGCCTGGCCAACATAGTGAAACCCCATCTCTACTAAAAATACAAATATTAGCCAGGTGTGGTGGCACGCACCTGTAGTCCCAGCTACTTGGAGTGGGGGTGAGGTGGGAGAATCGCTTAACCCGGGAGGCAGAGGTTGCAGTGAGCCAAGACCACACCACTGCACTCCAGCCTAGGTGACAGAGTGAGACTTGGTCTCAAAAAAACAAAACAAAAGAAAACACAAAAATTAGCAGGGCGTGATGGTGGGACAATCACTTGAACCGGGAGGCGGAGGTTGCAATGAGCCAAGATTGTGCCACTGCACTCCAGACTGGGTGACAGAGTGAGACCCTGTCTCAGAAAAAAAAAAATCAGCCAAGTATAGTGATGTGCATCTGTAGTCCCAGCTATTCAGGAGACTGAGGCACGAGAATCACTTGAACCCAGGAGGAGGAGGTTGCAGTGAGGCAAGATCGTGCCACTGCACTCCAGCCTGGGCGACAGAGTGAGACTGCTTCAAAAAGAAAAAAAAAGAAAATAATCAACACCTATTGTGTCATTCTAACCTTCTGAAACTGTCTCCAAAGCTATAGCTGAGGGAATTTGGGAGCACAAGTTTAATCAAGGTGAAAAGAAAGCAAGGAACAAATTGCATAATTTTTTATAAGACAGAACTTTGATACCTGACATATCAAAATAGAGAAAGCCAGGAATGTTCTCAGAGTCCTGATCTTTACTTGGCTGTATATTTTCTAGTTCCATTAAACCAGGTCCATTTTTTTCTCATCCCCTTTTAGAAAAACTCATACCAACAGTGTTCTCCCCCCAAGTCTTCATTTCTTATTTCCTCATTCAAGGACCAGATTAGATATCATACTTCCAAGAAAGCCAGTGTATTTATTGTACTGATGAAGACTAATAAATAAAACATTGGATATAAGAAACGTCCTCTTGGCCGGGCACAGTAGCTCACGCCTGTAATCCCAGCACTTTGGGAGGCTGAGGCAGGCAGATCGCGAGGTCAAGAGATTGAGACCATCCTGGCCAACATGGTGAAACCCCGTCTCTACTAAAAATACAAAAATCAGCTGGGCGTGGTGGCGTGCGCCCGTAGTCCTGGCTACTTAGGAGGCTGAGGCAGGATAATCAGTTGAACCCAGGAGGGAGGCGGAGGTTGCAGTGAGCAGAGGTCATGCCACTGCACTCCAGCCTGGTGATAGAGTGGGACTCCGTCTCAAAAAAAAAAAAGAAGAAAGAAATGTCCTATTAGTATACAGAATATTAATCATTTTTAGAGCGATAGCTTAAAAAATCTTCTCAATTTAAAAACCCCTGACACTCAAGTTTTGCTGCCTCTTTTGACTACGCCTCATAAACCATATTTTACTATCACTTTAAAAGTTACATTAAAACCCAGCTCTAACACAGCTCTTAGTACACTAATTCAGATAAATTCATAGAATTTGGAAGGGATACTACAGCTCTTCTAATCCACTCCTTCAGCTGCTCTAATAAGCAAGGAATCTTTCCCATTAGAGGTGGATGCTATAAGAATCTCAGTTAAACCTCATTTACTCCGCTGTATATGCATGTCTTGCCACATGATACAATCCTTGAGAGCATTGGGGACATATCCTGACCATCTTTCCAGGTCTGTTCTGATGGCCAAGATTTAAGAGAAAACTAGTAAATGCTCACTAAACTGAGCTGGATAAATGGATTCTGCTGTGACTCTTTTTATAAAACAATACTATTTATCTCTCTCCTTTCTGTATTTGTTTTCCCTTTTCAGCTCAGACTCCCTTACATCCCAGGAGACAGTAGGTTCTATCACCTGAAGGAGAAATGTGAATAATAAAATTGCTACTCACGGGAGGACATCAGGATGGTTACCGATGAGTTTGCTCATCGACACACAGAGCCGTTCATGCAGATCATGGTTGATTTGGCCTCCAGCTTTAATGGCTTCGGCATTCCTTTCCAGCAAATCCAAAAGGAGAGGGCGAAGCTGGCGACCAACCAGCACAGTACAGTCCTTATCCAAGAGCAACTGTGCTAAGGTACTCAGGACACACTGGCGATCTTGAGATGTCCACACCTGAAAAAGGCAAAATAAAACATCTTTCATTTTTTTTTTTGGAGACAGAGTTTTGCTCCATCTCTCAGGCTGGAGTGCAGTGGCGCAATCTCGGCTCACTGCAACCTCCGCCTCCCAGGTTCAAGCGATTCTCAGGCCTTAGCCTCCCATGAGTAGCTGGGATTACAGGCACCTACCACATCAGGCTAAGTTTTGTATTTTTCTTTTTTTCTTTTTTTAGTAGAGATGGGGGTTTCACCATGTTGGCCAGGCTGGTCTCGAACTCCTGACCACAGGTGATCCAACTGCCTCGGCCTCGCAAAGTGCTGGGATTACAGGCATAAGTCACCATGCCTAGCCCAAAATATCTATATAAATAATACTCATCTGCACTGTTGTAGAAAAGCAGAGAAGAGTCCTGGGTTGGAACTAAAATGTCCAATTTCCAGACTTCATAAGTGAGACTCTATTATAAAATACTGTAGAAACTTTTTTCAGTAGAGGATTAGAGTTAATATAAAGGTTGTTACAAATAAGTTTCAGTACACTGGAGTTTGAGGTACAGGAACTAATACCCGGATTCCATTTAAAAGCTACACGACTTCTCTGAAAAAGAATCTATATGCTAGGGTTTCAACAATCTCCAGGGAATCCAAAACCCCAAACTTCCCCCAGCTCTTTTAACTCTTGAAGAAAAAAATGGAATTCTGCAGTTAGTAGACAAAACTTACAACTCCTGAGTAAAGGACAGAGGTAAAAAATTAACTCCTGGGAGTGAATGAGGATATCCCTATCAAGCTGATCAAGGCATCAGCCTCTAATAAACAAACAAAAAACAGATCCAAAGTAGACAGCAACGCTTTGATATGGGAGATGAAATAGAATACAAAATTCTAGTGCCCGGGTTCAGAATGTAGGTAAGCATAGAAAGGAAAACTGAAAACCGTATAAAAGGCATTATATTGCTAGTGTATATACAGGTCCGCACAACCCTTTCTGCTCAGCAATGTAACAGCACTTTTAAAATGGGGACATGCCCTTTGACCTTACAAGTCTCAAGCTATGAGTTTCTCCTAAAAAGTTTCACCCCAGGCCATATGTGGTGGCTCATGCTTGTCATCTCAGCAATTTGGAAGGCTGAAGCGGACAGATCCCTTAAGCCGACGAGTTCAAGACCAGCCTGGACAACATGGTGAAACCCCATCGCTACAAAAAGTACAAAAATTAGCCAGGCTTGGTGGCACGCGCCTGTAGTCCCGGCTCCTCAGGCAGTTGAAGTGGGAGGACTGCTTGAGCCTGGGAGGTGGAGGTTGCAGTGAGCTGAGATCATGCCACTGCACTCCAGCCTGGGTGACACAGTTAAGGCCCAGTCTCCAAAAAAAAAAAAAAAAGAAAGAAAAAAAAAGAAAAAAGGAGGAGGAGGCTCACCCTAGTCACCTATATAAGTGCACCTTGAACACAATCTAAATGTCATACAAAAAATGTAACGAGTTTTGCCAAAATTATCACCCAGAAAGTCACCTTATCCTGAGCTCTTACAAAGTCTTCCAATTATAGAGCATTCTCTCATGAAAACATTTGATTCTGATCAAAGCACTGATTAGGGAAAAATGTTACCTTGAAACAATTTCTGTCAGTCTTAGTTCTGTCCTTTATAGGAGGCTAACTGAAGGATTCCATAAAAATGGAGGAAAAGAAATTTAACAGATTTGGTCATGATAGATAGGAGCAAAACCTCACATTTTCAACTGCTGCATTTCCGCATAAACAAGCCCTCTAAAGATACCTTTTTTTTTTTTTTTTTTTTGAGACAAGGTCTTGGTCTGTTGCCAGGACTGAAGTACAGTGGTAAAATCACAGCTCACTGCAGGCGCACTCTCCCAAGCTCAAGCAATCCTCCCAGTTGAGCCCCCTAAGTAGCTGGGATTACAGGTGTGCGCCACCACGCCCAGCTGGTATTTTTTAATTTTGTAGAGAGGGGGGTCTCACTATGTTGCCCAGGCTAATCTCAAACTCCTGAGCTCAATCCTCCTGCCTTGCCCTCTCAAAGTGCTGCGATTGCAGGTGTGAGCCACTGTGCTCAGCCCCATTTTTTAAATAATAAAGTAAGTTACATTGCAGAGGAAAGAAACATATCCAAAGAAAACTGGTCAGGCATGGTGGTACTTTGGGAGGCCAATGTGAGATGATCACTTGAGGCCAGGAGTTTGAGACCAACCTGGGCAATGTGGCAAGATGTCATCTCTTCAAAAAAATATAAATAAATAAAAAATTAGCTGGTGTGACCAGGAGCGGTGGCTCACACCTGTAAACCTAGCACTTTAAGAGGCAGAGGAGGGTGGATCACTTGAGGTCAGGAGTTTGAGACCAGCCTGGCCAACACGGTGAAACTTTGTCTCTACTAAAAACACAAAAAATTAGCCAGGTGTGGTGGCAGGTGTCTGTAATCCCAGCTACTTGGGAGGCTGGGGCAGGAAAATGGCTTGAACCCAGGAGGCAGAGGTTGCAGTGAACTGAGAATGCGCCACTACACTCCAGCCCTGGCAACAGATAGACCAAGACTCCATCTCAATAAAAAAAATTTTTTTTTTTTTTTTTTTTTTTTTTGAGACAGAGTCTCGCTTAGTCGCCCAGGCTGGAGTGCAATGGCGCGATCTCGGCTCACTGCAAGCTCCGCCTCCCGGGTTCACGCCATTCTTCTGCCTCAGCCTCCCGAGTAGCTGGGACTACAGGCGCCCGCCGCCTCGCCCGGCTAATTTTTTTGCATTTTTAGTAGAGACGGGGTTTCACCATGTTAGCCAGGATGGTCTCGATCTCCTGACCTCGTGATCCGCCCGCCTCGGCCTCCCAAAGTGCTGGGATTACAGGCGTGAGCCACCGCGCCCGGCTAAAAAATTTTTTTTTAATTAATTTTTTTTCTTAATCAGCTGGTGACGATGTGCATCTATAGTCCCAGCTACTCTAGAGAGTGAGGAGAGGATCACCTCAGCCTAGGAGTTCGAGGCTGCAGTAAGCCATGATCGTGCCCACTGCACTGCAGCCTGGGTAACAGAATGAGACACTGTCTCTAAAAATAAAATACATAAAATATAAATTTCATTCCCCAATAATTTTAAATATAAAAATATAACTCATTTTTATATATTGACCTGTGATCAATGAAATTCTTTATTTTGAAGATTCCTTAAGACTTTCTACATACAAAATCCTGTCTTAAGCAAACATTGTTTTGTTTTATTTATTTTTATTTTTGGAGACAGGGTTTCCGTCACCCAGGCTGCAGTATTTCGATATCAGCTCACTGCAGCCTCGACTTCCCAGACTCAAGTGATCCTCCCGCCTCAACTTCCCAAGTAGCTGGGTTTACAGGCACGCACAACCATGACGGGCTAATTTCTGTATTTTTAGTAGAGTCAGGGTTTCATCACATTGCCCAGGTTGGTCTTGAACTCCTGGGCTCAAGAGATCCACCTACCTCAGCCCCCAAAGTGCTGGGATTACAGGTATGCACCACCACACAAGGGGGTTTACAGTTTTTCTCAGCATTTGAAAGATGTTTCATTGTGTTGTTTGTTAAGAAACCAACAGTCACTTTTATCTTTGCTCCTCTACAAGTAAAGTGTCTTCTGGCAATTTTTAAGATGTTGTTTATTACTTGTTTCTTAGCAACTTGATTATGATGTGGCTTGGTGTGGTTTTAAGTTTATCAGATTTAAGATGACGAGTTTTTGGGATCTATGAATTATTTTTCATCAACTTTAGAAATTTTGAGATTATCTTTTTATATTTCTACTGTTTCTCTTCTCTCCCTCCTCCTGTAACTCCAATTCACATACAGTAGACTAGTTGATAATGCCTCACAGATCACTGAAGCATTTTTATTCCGGCTTTTTCCCAACCTGTCTGTTTAAGCCTAGATAATTTCTATTGCCGTATCTTGTAATTCAATGTTCTTTTCTTGTGAACTGTCTAATCTTCGACAAGGCCTATCCAGTAAAATATTCATTGCTAAGATTGTATTTTTTGGTTTCACTTGGTTTTTTTCATAGCTTAAATTTCTCTCATTATGTTTAACATTTCCCTTCAAGTCCCTGCACATACAATTACTTTTTTTCATGTTTTTGAGAGTGATGGGGTCTCACTTTGTTGCCCAGGCTCAGACTGATCATAAACTCCTGGCCTGAAGTGGTTCCTCTTGGCCCAGTCTATAATCACTTTTTTCTTTTTCCGAACATTCATATCATCATTGTATAATCACTTTTTTAAGTCCTTGTTTATTAATTTAAATATCTTTATTATTTTGGGATCTGTTATAGTGACTGACTTTTCTCCTGGTAATGAGCCACCATTTTCCTTTTCCTATATCTAGTACTTTTTTAATCAGATGCTGAACGTTGTAGATATGTGTCTAGATTTTGCTCTCTTCCTTTGTTCTAGCAGGCAATTAATCAGCTTGTAGGTCAGCTTGATCCTTTCAAGACTTGTTTTCAAGTTTTCTTAGTATTGGTCTAGTAAGGCCTTTGAGGGCTGATTTAGCCCTAGAATGTGGCCCTTCTGGGTTCCACGCCTAATTATGCCAGTATTCAACTTGGTCTTTCCACTCCAACTAGTAGGAGTTGAACATCTCCTACACAGAAAAACTCCAGTAGTTATTCTTTGCATAGCTCACAAAATTTCCCTAAGAAAACACAGCTTTACATTCAGCCAGTACTCACCAGACCCCATATTTCTAGAGCTGTTCCCTCTACTATAACACCCTTCCCAGCATATTCCAACTACTGCCCCAACTCCGAGCTCTGTCTTCTCAGCTCAGTAGGACCACCACTGCTGAACTTCGTTCCTCCTCTGAGTCAGTCCTCCTGTAAGTGACTCCAGGTAGACAGCCGGAATCATTCTAGGGCTCACCTTGTTTCCCATTTTTAGGAATCCCAATCCTATGCTACCTTTCATCCAATGTTTGAAAGTTTTTCATATGGATTTTTTTCCTGTTTTTCTAGTTGTTTTGGCAACAGGGTTAATCC